CCTGTTTATTTACAGCTGATGTCAGGGCCTTTGTCCGTTTGTCTGGGGATCGTCCAAATTGTTGTCAGACATTTTTTAATGCTACACTGCTGAGCTCAGATCATGCATCACTGCAGTTCAAATGAAACGTAGCATCCTCTTTTATTAGCAATTGAACCCGATCCATCTTGCATTATGCACAGATGCAGCCTGAAACGGGAGCCAACCAATAAGCGGAGGTCGAGTGAACCTGTAAGAACAATATATGGGGTTAGCTCTAGGCTCCACTCGACTAACAGAGATCTGATTCATTGGGGGCAAACGGGGATCAATGGTCCATTGCATCAGATAAGCACCTCACTGGGTGGCTGGACGGATCCTCTCTCAGAAGCTGGGGGTAAACAATGCAGTCCCAGAGTCACCTGAAGGCACCCGAAAATGAAGAGACAATCAGAGCTTGTCAGAGTGGGCACTGAGGTAGAGAGAGAGGGCAGCAGAAGTAATAAAGTCTCTGTGGCCAACATGGAAATAGTTTAAACAGTTTTATCAGTGAGTAACTTAGCGGGCATATATTTTCAATGCCAGGTTTTAAAGGGGAAAAATCTACATGTTTTTGTTGTGCTATCATTATTGATAACTGCCATGGTAATAGATAGATATTGGGTTATGTAGGACTCCAGATGGAGGGAGCCATAAATGAATGATGATAAGAACAAGTGGGGAAAAAATACACAATCGTTGGACGGTGACTCACAATGTTTGACTCACAACAGTGATCTTACGTGGATGAGCAGAAACACCTGTTTATCACTAGCTGTCTCCCTGGAATATTGATATATAGCTGCAGCAACAGACAAGAAGAAAAGAAAAAACATGCTCGGCTGAATACTTTTAATTAATAAACAATACAGAGATAATTACAAAATAAAATGGCAATGATTAATCACATAAATACGACAGGGTAAGATTTAGTGAAGTTGCGCGTACTACAGAAAAGAATGTAACAGACTATATTTTACCTCATCATCTCCATCGTCTGTTTTTATTTTAGCCTTTTAGAACTACAACCCCTCCAAACTGATTTATGACACCAATAAACATTTTCTCAAGGAGTGCATGATATCAATCATAAGTTGCTGGTGTTGTCCAACACAGCATTGTGTTTTATGAAGTGCCACAAATGTGGGTAAGAGTCTAAAAGCCAATATATTTGATTACAAATATAGTTGGTGACACTCATCTATGTCACACTGTGGGTGAAGAAACAGTGACATTTCCACTAGTGATCATTGTCTCCCTCCTATTTCTTTTATGATCTGTTTTCTTTCTCGTCCACTCTACATGTGAAAGTGATTTTTTTTTAAAAGGACATGGATTTATCTTCCACAACTAAATTCTTTTCGGGGTCTTAAGATCAGTGACGGGCCAAGGGCGGGGTTACACCTTGAACAGTTCACCAGTCCATCACTGCGTCATATATGGAGATGAACAACCATTGACACACACACTAACATTCATATTTAAAAATTAAAAATAAATAAATAAATTTTAAAAATAAATCATAATTGCAATGATTGCCTTTTAATTTATTTTCAGTGTTAAATAAAAAGCCAATTTTAAAAATATCTGATTTGTTTTTTATTGAATGTGGAAATATCTCCAGCCCCTCACATCAAACACCCCTTGCATAAATGTAGATAAATAAATGAATACATTTTATCTTAAATATTTTTTGTATACAATACGCATACAACTTGCCAACATGTCACAGTTACACAATAAAAACAGCTACACTGAACCACACCAACGCCTCATGTGAAATAAGGATAAACTGTTAAATAAAATCACACCCACTACTTGTTGTGTATTGATTGGACAGAAGCTCCATTACCAGTTTTCTTTGCAAGGTGTTGGCAGGTTATTTGTGTGCGGATTGCCCCGGGCCAGCCAGCAGACAGTGGTGTGTGTCACAGCGTGGCCTCACTTCACATTCCTCTGTATTGTCTCTTTGGCCCTGAGGCAAACATTTCTACACTCAGTGACACACAAAAGCACAATAACATGCTTGAGTATGCCCAGCTTGTGTTTTCAAGTGAACTTGAAATTTGGTGCCTTAAAAATCACAGAAACTGGGCTGTTGGCCATGTGGGAGGGGTCGGAGAAGGAAGACGTTTCTGGGTAGGAGAAGACAAAGAGATCAGTCTCCATGCCAACATGGAAACCTGATCTTTAATCCTGATAAAGAGGTGATGGCTGGGTTGAGGTAAGTTAAACGGACTCTAGCCTGATTGGAGGAACTCTTCATTCCCTTCACAACCTTGCCTTCAGACGATACTGTGAAACCTGCATGTAATCCTGCGATAAATACACTTTCACTCGCTGGACAGGTTTTTATTTTGTCTCCCAGCGACCAGCCTCTCTTGGCCTCTTCGCTCTGACCATATTGCCCTGATGTTTTCAGTTAACCCACAGTGGAAGTCTCTCATTTGACAAACAGCCGTTTGGCCCCAAGAGATCTGATACACCAAGAGAAGAGCAAATCCACATGAAGGCTGAGGCTGGCAAGTGAAACTTTTACTCATCCCACAAAATACGGGCTCTCCCTCCCCCTCTCTGTTGTTCTGATTTATGCCCGACTGTGTTGTCAAGATGCTCCAAACCAGCTGCACAAATTGATAACAGAGTAATTTATGAGCATAGATCATTACTCATGCTCCTGCAACTGAGAAAATCTCAACAGGAGATTTTCCCTCTTGCACAAACAAAAGCGTTGTTTGTACTGATCATAGTCTCGGTGATGTAACCTTTTGGATTTTATCGATTCAAAGGCCTTTCTTCTGAGTGTGACATCGGTCAGAAGGTCCTGTGTCCAATTGTAAAAAACACAAACACTGCAAACTAGAACAAATTAAAGTCAACTTTCCAACAGGGTTACATCCTCTGTCCTTTAGACTACTGTATACCTTTGAAGAGGATACCGTTTTCCAAGTGGAATTTTTGCCATGTCTTGCTGTCAAAAAATGTAAACTGAATCTACTTCACACTCTGTTGTCATTTAGTATAATTATTCCCAAAAGTGGAGAGCGTTCCTCTCTGGGTGACACGCAGCTATTGAGGAGGGGGCCGTGGCAAAATGTTTGTTTGAGGACAATCTTCATTACACCCATGTGGCTCTGCAGCATGGCTAATGCAGTAAGACCAATGTGTTAATGCAGCTGCAGTCAGGCCTCGCTCTGCTTTAATGTTCGTCGACAAATTAACAAAACTGAGCCTTTGGTTGATGCTTCTTTTATAATAAAATAGAATAAAAAGTTAATTGATAATCACTTTTAGGCATATACAGTACAAGTATTCAAACTGATACCAGAACTTACAACCTACAATGTTACTAAATTTGCCTCAAAATCACAGAAACAATGTTTTTTTGGGTGCATTTGAAGGCATCATAATTAGTTTGACCCCTTTTGCCTGTTGAATGCTGTTAAAGTAAATTGCTAGACCACAGAGTTTAGATTTATTGCATCTTTAGGATGAGCACTTTTTATGGCAATGTGGTTTGTTGATTTACTGACAGTAACACAGCACTCAGATATCTGAATTTACTCAGGGATGTTGAACTACTGAAGCTACTACTGTATGAGGTTCTCACAGCCAGGTGATGTCCGTGGCACTGGATTATGACAGGCAATAAATGCACCGCATTGTAAACCTGTTCATATCACCGCCAGTATGCTGTTTCTGATACGCACACAGTAAAGTCGCTGTTTGTAATACAGCAAAAGACGATAGCAGACGTGGTAGTGGAAACAGCAGAATGAGAAGAACAGGAAAACAAATCTTTTATCACCCTCATACAGTAGATTACTCTGTCAGATTAGACTGTGCTGCTTCCTTAACTACTGGCAGCTCGCTGTGAGCCATGGAAACGTAGATCAGACTGTCCTTTTACCTAAAGCTTTCAAGCCTGCAAGAGTTACTGTTCGGAGTTGTTAGGCAGTTTAGACACGAGTGACAAGTGAATCTTCAGAAGAGTAATTACTGTGAGTCAAATATTGGACAAGAAAGAATAGTTTATGACAGCAGAGTAAATTAAGTTCAACACTGAATCCTAAAATGATGGCAGCGAACATTACTGGCCTTCGCAGGTAAAAACTTGTCTGTAGCTTGCTTCTAGAAACTAAAATCAAAGAAGGATTGTTCCCTAAGTGTGGAACAAGACAAAAACAAATAAACATTCCTTGAGTCGTGATGTAGCTTACATAAAGGAATGAAGAGTGGTTGTTGGAAAAGTGAAAGAACGGAGTATTTGTTTTAAGTGTGTTCCTGAACGCACCTGCAATTACATGTTTTATTAGCTGACAACTGACAGGAACATTCTGTAACTAACACGTAGCTTCTGAATGAAGTGGTTGCTGCAAACAGACTAACAGACAGACTAACACGTACGATAACCAACAGTTAGTTTACACCAAACAGTTGATACTGACTAACGTTTTACAGGTGTTTGTTATGTGTTCACAAAGGCAGAACCTCAAAACGCTGAAAGCTATGAAATGCTTTTACATGATTGGTCAATCAAGCCAGTGTGGAAAAGACAGTAGAAAAAGAAAAAAAAAACACATTTGTTTGTTGATTTTTGTGTTATTGTGCTTTAATAGAAGCCTGGTCAGTGTCTGGTGTGTCTTTTAGACACACCAGAGAGTTTTTGTTTAGTACAGATATGAGCTGAGAAGTGGGTAGAAAAGTGGTTGGTTCAAGTCGGTTACCAGTGATATTTCTATTGTGTTTACATATTCTTAGCACTGCAGTTTTCTACATTTCAATAGACACAGATTGATATGGATACAAACTTGAGTGTGAATAATTGTCCAGGATGAATGGGGCCTTCACCTGGCAACCCTGTTTCAAGCCGGTCTTGTAAAAGAAATTGAGGAGGAGGAGTAGAGGATAAATCAACGGGTAAGGTTTTTAGATCCCCTAAAAATGGGCTGCAGCAGTTTTAAGGCACACTGTTAAGCTGAAAATGGTCTCTTGTTAAAAAAAAACAGACATAGTTTGTTTTAGTGACAATTAAGAAAAAGATTATGTTGCCTGTATTTAAAGGTACAGTAATTATGCCTTTCTAAAGTTTGTCCTAAGAGTAAAAAATCTCTCACAAACTAAAGCTGGCTTACATTCTTGTTCTTTATTGAGCTGCAGCCTGCTTACGAGAACACAAAGACACACATATAAGGTAGCTTTATAGCTTTTTCCTCTCACATCATCTCCTAGCATTTATCTCGTTTCTCAACAACGCTGGATGACTCATTTGCTTACTAGCAACAGCAGCAGTTAACCGCCACAAACCCTGAAATGCACTGCATATTTTCACTCTAAATACTGGAAAAACAATAAAAAAAAGGGCAACCAGCGGCCTGGTGTTGAGGACAATTACCACTTTCAGTTACTATGTGTGAAGTATTCAACTCCACACCTTGTTACTGCTGCATCTCGGGGTGAGGAGGGGGGTGTGTGCTGTTACTCAGCTCTTTGGAGCAGCACTTGTTAGCACCCAAAATACACAAACACACTCTGCACACCGAGGTGTTCTAACTTGTTATAGGACAAACAGACGATTAATGACGAATAGCTGAAGCACACATAGACTTCAGGGTGGGATAGTAACTGTGCCAGACTGGGACACTGCTAAAAAAAGAAAAAGCGCTTATGTGAAGCTCCTCCAAGTGGTTTATTTATGATCTTTAATTCCTCCCTAAAGCGAGTGTGTCTTCCTGGGAGTGGGAGTCTTCTGTCATTCTCTTGACTGTGTGAGACATGCCAGTACGTCCTGAAGGGAGAAACTATCCAAAAAAGCCTGCTGGCTTTGCCAGCACTAGCACTCACGCGCTATGACAACACCCAGCGGTGGCATGAAGTCATCCTGCAAGACGACACATGCAGTGCAACACCAGCAAACAATTGCCTACTGTGGAGCAATACTTTCATCTTCTTTGTGAGCATTAGGGTTTGACATGGCCTAGGAGAAGTTTGTGGTGACAGCAGTGAATTGTCACTGATTGGCTGAACTACAGTTATAAACAAATTATTTCACCTTTTGAAGGAATGGGTTGCAGTGGTAGTTTAATCTTATCTTAACAGAGGTTTGGAAGATTGCATTTTTTAATTTGGAGGTCATTTGCCAAGAAGCCAAAAAGAAATTACTACTAACAACCTATACATACAAAATCTTAAAAAATGAACCAAAAATAAGAAATTGACTCATTCATTTGTACCTTCTGTAAACATTGTCCTCGGAAAAATAAGACTATCAATACCCTGATTCATTTTCGCTTAGGTTTATGACCACCTTGAAGCCATTTAGATGATAAAGTGCAGTGAGTGTGTCTAATCAATGTCTACCTGTTAACAAATGCTTTTCAGTCACCATTTTTAAAAGTACTTCATGATTTATTTCACTTCAAATTCAACAGTAGTTTATAATCATTCATACATTGATCTATTATATATATAATAAGAAAGTAGAGAATCAGAGTTTCACAACTCTTTCAGGATTTCACTGAAAAAAACAATATATATAGTATTTTATATATAGTATTTTTGGTGGTCTTTTTAAATAATAATGGGTATACTTTTAATGGGTATACAAATAATTTAAAATAAAGCTGCAAAGTGTGAATATTTTTGAAAGAATGAGATAAAAACAACTATGGACAATGGGATCACTGCAAAAGGGAGACAAAAATAACAAACATTTCACACCAATCTCACACCACTTGTGGGCAAGTGTGGTGAGAAGATTTTGGGGGCAGAAATAAGACACAGCAGAAAAAAAAAAATCCTCTGATCGATAAAATCCACCCAAACACTGCTAACACACACACTAGACACACTCATAACTACAACCAGACCACTGTACTCCATCTGTGTACTCAAAAGTCAACTCACTGGTAGTCTGATGCAGTTTCCATCTGGATTTGCGGTGAAGGTTTCATATTTCTGTATATTTGGGAGGATTCATTACCATGCTTATTTCATTTCAATTTAATTAAACCATGCTTGATGTTTTTAAGCAGGTCGTTTTATAGATAAAGGTTATGTTCAGGTTATTTGCTTTCTAAGGTTTCCGTGCCTGTCCTTGCAGAACAATCCACAGCTGAGGGGCCTGAACTAAATACCTCACACCCAACACCACACCCTGTGTATTTGTGTTCTGATTGCTACCTAACGCTATAATGCTGCCACTTGTTGAAAAGAAATAACTTCTTTCTTTAAAAAAAAACAAAACAAAACCTGACATTTCAGTAGCAAAGAAAAAAAAATCCGTAGTGACACAAAGAATGGAAATTCATAAACAAGGTCATTTGCATTATTAATACCAAAACAGTCCATTGTGGATATTAAAAAAAGCAAAGAATTACTGCTGGTGGTTGAGCTCAAACAGATGGTACCTGCCTTCAGATCTAGTGGCACAAAATCTGTGGAGCTCAGTGACACTAAGGTTCATGTAGCATCAAGTATGTAGTGTGCCAGCCCTAAATGCCAGCATCGTCCAGATCCTCAGCTTAGGACCTATGGCACCTATAATGAACAGTGTTAATTAGTGTAAAAAACACTAATTAAATTAGTGGCTGAGAGGGTTAGCCGACTTATATGCACAAGTTGAGTTGCAACAGGAAGGGCATCCAGTGTGAAAATTCTGAAATTGATTCTTTTTCATTTTCACAAAGAGGTAGTTTGATCCAGTTTTACTCATTTTAATAAATGTTTGGACAGCTCTGCTCTTAAGTTACTAGAATACTAGTTTGATAAATGCATCCACTGAAAACCAATCGCTAATGGTATTATTGGATGTACAACCTATGCTAATACTTAGGCATAAGAGACTGGTGAGCGCTCCTAACATGCCACAGAAGAGAAACTTTCCAAACAGAGCCCTCGGCAACTTCACTCTCTTCTCTGTTAATTTAATTTGTAGAGAAGTTATGCTCATTATTTAAATTTACTGATAAAGTTAAAAAAAAACTCTGCCTAAAAGATGTGAAATATAATTTGAAACAGTGATTAGATCAAGAGATTGTTATAAACCTGGTCTTTACCTAACAGCACAAAAATGACTCTTTAGGCAGTATTTTACTGGTACAACCAACTAACAACCACAGACACGGGCAGATTCAAATCAGGACGTTTGCTTATGAAACAAGGTTTGTATCAAATTTGAAATTGTATGGTTTCTGTCGGTTCGAGACACGTCATTCCAATTTTGTGCTTCTAGAACAAAATGTTCCAGAACAAAGTACTTGGATTACAATGGCACCACATTCCTTTTATGTATAATTCAGCTAGAATGACACCAAAATATGTCATTGTCTTGGAAACTATTTGTGGTCACCAATCGTCTTTTCTATTGAGTTCTGACGGATTGTATTGTTGCCAGTGACCTTAAAACTAACTAACGAGGGTAGTGTTGGCATGGTTATATTAGCAGAAACATCAACCCAATATCATCAAATCCTAACTCCTAACGTTTGCCTTCTTTAGCCGGAATGTGTATCACTATTAATTATTTAGGTTAGAGGCAACATAAAACATGGTCTGTCTTTAATCTGCTTAAGTCACTACAGTCAGCTACTAATCCCATTTACTTATCCAAAAATGAACTGGAGTTAGCCTGTACTGAGTTTGTTGTCTTTCTTTTTTAGTCGGCTCTGTCTATAACTGTTCTAATTCAGATCTCTCTCCACCTTGTGGATAATTAAAGAAAAGAAAAATTCCATGTGTTAATGCTAAGAGTTACAATGCCACATTTACAAATGGTAACTTTGAGGTTCACAGGCAAGGCAGAGGGGGATTCTCTCTGGAGTTCAGAGGTGAGGTGGACTCTGCCTCTGTGGTGTAGAGTAATGAGGTGAACCTGAGTGTGGAGAAAAAACTCCAGACAGAATCAAATATCAGCCTAAATCCCTGTGTGTCCAGATCCATCATCTCAGGAGTGTCTGGATACGTCCAATATGTTTGGAAACCATACGTGCCGTCGTTCTAGGGTTTCACCTTCTCCATCTCTAAAAACATTTGTTGTCTGCACGGGAGAAATGTGGATTCCATTCACTTCTATATTCAACCCATAAAATTACACAACATTATGGTTTGCATGAAACCACGGGACATAAAATAAACAAATCAACAACATCAATTGAAATTTGAAATGAAAGTAACTAAAAAGGGATAGAACTAGAAAACAAAAATGAAAGGAAGCCATTAGGTCAACCAGCAGTTGGCCGTCACACTGGAGATTCCTTCTACCCTTAAAAAAACCCCAATGCCTCTGGAAACCATGGACCTCCACCCCAAACTAAATCAACAAACAAAGCAGCCTTTAACTGAATAAACATGGCTTCTTATGTGCAATCATTGATATGGACAAAAGATCACTGATGAAATGACTACAAAAGCTTGATCACAGACCAAATCTTTATTCATTCTGTTTTAAGGGACTTCACTGGTTGGTTTTGGACAACAACGTACCATGGAAGGACCATTGTCACAAAAGCAGAGGGATCCATGTCTCATTTTGGAAACTGCATCTATGGTACAGCACTCAGTAAGAATTCACAACTGGATTTCTTTAAGCATCAAAGAGAAGAGCTGGAAAGGAAGGACAGTAGTGTAGAGTAGTTAGTAGCGTGAATAAAATCCAGTTTAATAATTCTGACTGATTGTAAACTACAGCAAATCTGGGATCAAGTATGTAGTTGTCATCAGTAACCACAGACCAAATCTCACAATATCAATGAAATGCCATACTGATTTGTAAACAGTTAACTTTATGAAAAAATGGTTATGGTTACAGTGGGAAAATGGCAGGAGAAAAGTAGGCACTGCAGCCAAGAGGAAGCACCGCAATAGCACTGGACATCAGCCAAAACAAGGCCATAGCTCAAACCAAGCTAACCTTTTCTTCAGAGGTGAGAAACAACACTGTTTTCATTGCTATGTTTAACACAGTCAAACAGACCTTCAACAAGGCACAGCAGCCTTCGAAAGCACAGCAAAGCACAGCACAGCACAGCAGCCCCAAAGCATAAAAGAAAAGAAACGCTCCTTACTTGGTTGAAGATCTTCAGGATGATCAATCTGGAAAATAAACCACAAACACATGTTAGGTTCAGAAGTTCTGTGAGCACAACATTAGTCAAATAATTACTTTCTTCTTAAACAGAAAACCTCTCACTCACCTCGTCTTTTAGTCTCAGGAGTGAACTTCAATGCTGGACAATTTCAACCTGGTCTCCGTGTGCAGGAACCTCAACGCATCTGTTCATTTCAAACATTGTTGATTCCAAGTTTAATACAATGTAAACAGTTTCTTTTAGAAAATTACTGTAGAAGACACTGAAGCTGCACCACTAAAATGGTAAAACATGATTCAATGAGTAAACACAGTCTCCAAACAACATCGGTCTGCCAATTGTTTTGTTGTTTTAGCAAAACAAAAAATATTTAAATGTCTTCCATTTCATGTTAAGGCTAAGCTATTTAACTTTAGAAAATAAAATAACACACTGAGTCAAAACACCAACATTAAGGAAAAATAATGCAAAACCCATTAACCTTTCTCTTTAAGCCATTAATCTGGACCAGGTCGAGCTGTCTTTGCAGAATAACTTCATACACTTGTTGCTTTCAAACTTTTGCGGCGTGTGACGTCACATGCCAGAAGCGTTTGAAATGTGTTTTACCTGTTCCGTCGCATCTTTGTGACGTACTACACCGCCAAACAGCGTGATTGGTCCGACTCATGTGGGCGTGGAGTCCGCAGCAGCGGTTTGTTTTATTTTGTGCCGGTGTTTTAATTAAAGGGCTGATCAAGAAGACAGTTAGTACTACTTAAAGCTTGGAGATCTTTATTACCATTTTAAAATAAAATAAAAAATAAAAAGATCACACAGATGTGAAGGAATGTGAAAAAGGAATGCTTGCACATCAAAATAAACTTTTTAAGTGCATAACTATATAGACTCTCTTCTAACACGTTTACCTAGAAGAGGATGCAACAGAAAAAAACAACAACAATACAAACGTATCTGTTTATTGAATAGGAAAAAAGAAACAGTGAAAAGTGCAAAACATTACTCCTTCCCTTAACACTCGTTGAGGGAATTTTATTTACGGCTAATGCTACTGCATATTAACAACTTTTAAAACTTTAAAAACGCAACATCCTAAACTATCAACTAAACTACACTAGTCTACTAAACTAGTCTACACTCGTGCACTGACATCTTCTGGCAAAAACATAACCTGATAGGAAATCAATTATAATATAATGACGTCACTGCATCGCTCGCAGGAGTTTATTGAGTGAGTGTCTGCAGTGTTGCGCTCTCACAGCCCACCATGCTCCAGTTTACACTTTGCATCGTAATCATCTCCACTGACTCTTCCACATTCACTTCCGAGGGCGTGGTGGAGTATGGTGTGCAGCGGACATTCTTAAAGGATGCAGGTTTTGTGAGTTCCGTCGTTGTGTGTTGTCTGTCTCTAGGCAACCGTGACAGCACCACACACAGGCGCAGACTCACTGCGGAGATTCAGCAACGATAATTTTTCTTAGTATTCCTTTTGTTTTAGTATGGGCATTATTGTTAGATTAAATGTTGATGTGCAGAGGTGAGTGGTCCATAGGGGGTGCTCGGGTGCCACCCCTCGGTATTCCTGATTATCTTTTAAAAAATAGACATTTTTAAAATAATGAATAATCACTTATTTTGATTATCAGTGTGTTTAAGATGCACCATAACTTATATAAAATATAAATTTATTTTTTGGGCAAAGCCCAGTCTGTGCACCAGGCAATCGCTGAGCTGTTGCTGACATGAGATATGGGCATTTAACAGAAATGTATCAAATCCGCGTTGTCAAATATGATGGCTCAAGGGCAATTAATTTGTTGCCCCAACCAAGTCTCTCCCCATCTAAAATATTTATACCCCCACTGCACACTGTGAGGAAGTCAGCGGTGAAATCTTGTGCAATCAAGGCCAAGTTCATTTCTGCAGTTTATTCTACTACAGATCAAATTGTTTTCAGGCTAAAAGCAGCTCCAGAGCAGCGGCGGCCGCCAAGGTGACAGTGTTTATCCTGGAAACAGTTGAATGCACTGCTTTCACAAACTGAAAGTATGTTACTTGTATGTAACGTCTTATAATTGCTAGCATATGCTCAGGAGTTGAGTTTTTCGCTTGTCAAATCAGCTCAGCCTCAAAGTTTAAATTCATTTTTATTTAAACTGTTTTTAGCATGCATCTGCCCATACAGGATGATTCAGTGCCAAGGGGTCCAAAGTGAACTCCACACACCCAGTACCACACCCTTGGTATGTTTGCCATGATTGCTATTGAACACTTGAACTCTGTCATTTAAATATTTCTAGTGTCATTTTTAATCAAAAATGTGTCTTTCTGTCTAATTAAGGTTGTCTGACATTCAAATTAGAGACGAAGAATGATTTAGGCTGAAGTATTAGTTGATTTAGAATTTGTTTTTAGTGAATCTTTTTTTAGTGAAGCAACTTGTGTGAACGCTTTCTAAAAAAATATGTTTACAGTTTTGCCTTTTGACATCAAATTAGAAAATTAGCTAGAAATAATAGAACGCTAGAATGACCTCATGTAATTTAAGATTTATAATCATGATGTAACGTCATGTTAAATAAAGGACAAAGTGAAGAAAAGCGGAAAAAAATTAAAAGAATAATAACACAATTATTGGATATGATAATTACAATTAAAGTTTTCTTCTGAGACACTTTTTCATTTCTTTTTTTTTCAATCGCTCTCTGTTTCTGGAGCCAGAATGAGCATTTAATCCTGACTGGCAGAGACTCAGACAGTTTAGCCTGTGCGGATCTGTAAATAATTATCTCTGTCTGTACATGAAAAATATTTCTCTCCTTGCTGAACAGAGCTGAAGCCATTCTGGCTTAAACTAATACGTAGAAAATCCCTTTGAAATCATGTTTGGAAGGTGTAGTCAACATTAGCTGCCTGTTCCTGATGTAAACCAATGAAGGTGATGTGAAGGCTAAGAGCATGAATTGACTTGCTGACTGTCAGGAAGTCAAGAACAATTAGCCCGAACACTTTTTGGGTTAATGTGATGGAAAGTTGCTCTAAATCTATTCCTGTGGCAGCAAGTGAAGAGGCCACGTATGAAGCTAAGTCTGTCAAGTTACATTACTTGTGCTTGTGCTTTCCCTTATTTTTGTTTGCATAAACCAGGCAGCGTAACACGATAATGAGTGTATGTGTGAGGTTTGTATTGTATGGACAGCTTCAGGTTTCAGTTTTCTTGGGAAATCCGAGTTCAGCTTGTGAGCACGTGGACAGTTTGCCAGGAGGGAAAGCTCATGATTGGCTCATCCAGTGAAAGCAGCTTTACAGCAGCAGCTTGGGTGACCGTGTACAGTTCTCATTGACACACTTGAATAAACTGCTTCATTGCACTGAAAGGGGACTCGGTAATGGCTGGTAATTGCAGGCATGTGTGTGCAAAGATTGAAGAATGGGGTTTTTTTCCAGTGGTTCATGGGTGTATGGGAGGTGGCAACAACAACCTCTCAGCTGTTCTGTGAAGGACATGTGTCTGTGGGCAGAGGTAACTGTCAGCCTCCCCTGGGTGTCTGCTCAGGTTTATGTGACTCAGTTGGTCCTCAGGTGAGCCACAGAGGCAGTATGGGTAAGGCGATCCACCTGAGAACTGCCCAGGGAATTGTGGGTCTTTGTGAGTAGCAGAAAGGTAGGCCCCTCCAGCGTGTGCCTGCTGAATAAGAGCCACTTGTGCTATTTTACACAACAAACAATAACACACACCACACAAACCAATCAGATCAATAGGCTTTTATTTTCTCTCACTGCACTGACCTGGTGCAGATATACCTATAATTATGGCTTCCCAACTGCGACTTAACTGTTGGACAATAACAAGAAGGTTCATGAACACCACTGAACATTGTTCTTCACAGTGAGAGCATGTGGCCTGGAAAAGGTAGAGTATATGTGTGTGACGCAGAGAAACAATGCTTTAAGTAATAATATACAAATCCCAATTTTCAAAATTAATATTACTGTATATTC